TGCCGTCTTTGCAAAAAAATAAAGTGAAATACAACAAACAAAAAAAGGAGTCAACGCGTAGTAAAAGCCGCATTTTACGAGCAAAACAACCCTTAGCCAAATGCCAGCAACCCCCAGTGGCAAGTGGCAAGCGGTAAGCGGCAAACGGGACTGGAAGGCAACAGAGTTGAATGGAGTTTTAGACAAACTGGTTAATGCGGTCACTCACTCACTCGCTCGCTCCCTCCCTCCCTCTCTCTCTCTCTCTCTTTCCACGACGCACTGTGCCGCGTCGCATCAAACTGACTCAACGATACACAAAACTCTCTATAGTAGTAAATGTAGAAGAGACAACGAAAGCGTTAAATATAAGTGCAAACAACGATCCTGCAATTTGAACAGCAACATAAGTGAGCGAGCGAGAGAGAGATAGAGATAGAGAGTGTCTGAGCGTGCTTGTCCGAGTAGAAGAGTATGCTTCGTATAAGATAGACCAAGCTCATCACTCAATTGAATTTGAGTGCAATTTGATGATGGACTCTGCAAATTGACTTCATGGCCACAAAGCATGCAACAACAACAACTGTAAACAGTGCGACCACTGCAGGCTGCAGTTAACGGTGCATTTGCATTTAACATATGTATTTTGATCTAGAGCTGGGACATGAAACGGCAGCATTTAAGTGCATAAAATATAAGCAGATCACTGAAAGAAAAGTATATAAACATTAAACAATTTTATATATATATTCCAATATTATAAATCCATAATTCTGTATATATAAATATATTATAGGGTATTTGATAACTTTGAATTAAATTATATCTAGTCTAGTTTAATCTTATAATTATATCTTATATACTAACTGACATCTTATACTACTCCAATACAAATAACATTCTTTAATAAGAAACTGAGTCAATTATTTATTTAGACTCGAAAGAATCCCGTTCAGTTTGTTGTAGACCTGCATTGCAATGAAAGATGAAACCACAGCAAATATATATGTATATTTATAGTAAAAAAAAAAAAATAGTAAATGGGAAATTCTAATGCAAAGCTGTTGCAACTGATGAATCATGTCTGGCATATTCTATGAATCATTTGCTAAGTAGCACAATGCTTAAATGGAGCTCAATGAGAGTGAAAAGTACTTTAATTTCGCTCAGTGTAGCACTCACTCAGCGCTGAACAATTTGCGTAAAGCGTACAACAGAAACTGCAGCTAGCAAACAACCATAATTTACGTTGCATGCGCCTAATTAAAAGAACTACAACAACAACAACAACAACGACAACAACCATGCAACATCAATTACAATGGCAGGGCACGGCCCAAACCCATACCCAAACCTAAAACACACTCGAAAATGTAAATGCCGCCAAAAAACATTTTGCACTCAAAACAAACTCAACGAAAGCACTGCTGATCCCACTCAAGAGAGAGAGAGAGCGCGCGAGAGGGGGAGAGAGGCACTGACTGTTGCGTTCCAGCCGCAACGAACTTAACTCAACTCGACGCGAACGTCGAACGGAACTCAGAGGCCAAGCCAAGTCTGTGCGCTGAGCTGTTTGGCGGGCTGCTCTATGGCCAGCCAGACTTCAGTTCAGTTCRGTTCAGTTTCAGTTTCAGTTTTCAGTCTGGAATTTGTTTTGAGCGTCGACGAAACGTTGCGTTAGCGGGCAGCGGTCGAAAGCCAAGCGGGGCAATTTATAAAATACAAAATATTTATATAAATCCGATATTTTAATAGGAATAGAAACGTAAATAAAATCCCAGCAGCAGAAGTGAAGAAATCAAAGATTCGCTTCGTGTTGCAATCTGAACTGTGGTTGTGGTGTGCGTGTCATAAAACGTGTACGAGATTTGTGTTGTGTTGTCTTCAGCTGCCTGGAAATAAGGTGCCTATGTCTCTGTGTGCGCTTGTTACTGTATGTGTGTGTGTTTGAAGTTTGTTATTGTTGAGTTGCGCTCTTTAGCAGACTTTAGTTTAAAAACACTTTTCTTTAAAGAATATGTTTCATTCAGCTACGGCTCAGTATGTCACGCCCAAAATGTGAAAGACACCAATACACACTCGCACACACACACACACACACACATAGAGTCATAGGCACGCATTTAACGCAGTTATTAAAGTAGCTGCCATAATAAGGTGTGGTTGTGTCGACGGCTTTAAGAGCGAAACCACTCAAAAAACTCAAACTCAAGTCGGCAGCTAAGAGATACAAAACCCAAATATGAATGCTGTGTATGTGTGTGTGTGTCAGAGTATGTGCTGGTGTGTGTAGTCGCATTTTGTTTTGTATAAAAATAAATTGTGCATAGGCAAAATAAAACATAAACACCAAGCAATACGTGCAAAAAGATACAAGATACAAATGTATCTGACGGTCAAAGCAAAGAAGATACAAAATACGCGACACGGCACTCAGCAGTCAGTCAGTCTTTTAGGCCAGCCTACCTCCCGCCCTCTCTCTAGTTTATCTGTTGCACTCGGTTAAGGCCAAGCCAGAAGATACTTGGCATTGTATCTGAGAGATACGCGTAGGTAGTTGCCAACAGTGAAGCGGCACTGCCTGCGGCTTTTGAGCTCGCATTGGAAAATGTGCTCAGGGCTGACACGAATATCCAGGGGTAGATATTATGGCCAGGACAAAAAGGCGCCAAAGTTCTCATGTGAATTTGTTGTTGCTAAAAGCGTCGGGAAGAGAGTGTACAGAACTTGATGGGGAAGCAAAACAAAACAGAGAGCCAGAGCGAGAGCAATAGAGTGGGGAGGAGAGCGAGCCACCGAGGGAGAGGGGAGAGAGAGTATGAGTGCGTGGAAAAATGCGAATCAGTGTAGAAAAGTTGTAAAGTATGTGAAAAAGAACCCGAGTAAAAAGGTTATGAGTAAATCATAAAAATGTGTGTATACAAACAGCTGAAAGACCCGTAACCAATAAAACGTGTGGAATATGCAAATCAAAATGAGCCAATAAAAAACGGATAAGAAATATATAAATACAACAAAATATTGTGAAAAATATAAAGTATTGTATTTTAAAAAGGAAATGCAAAATAAAAATAAAAGCAAATCAAATTTATGAAAATACATAGATAAAAATTTCTAATACATAAAAATAAATATATATATTAAATGTAAAAAAAATAGGAATAGAAAGTGCAACTGAATAAAATATTAATAATAATAATCACAATAATAATAAAATAACATATATTCAAATTAAATAATTAAATGTATTGTAATGAATATGTTTTTGACTTACTAAGAAACTATATATGTATGAAACACCTTGTAAAAATAAATATAACAACTGTGTGTTATAACTTATAAACAGAAAACTAAGAAATTAAAAAATAAAGAAATAAAAATTACATGTTATTATTATTCAAATAATTCTGGAATTGCATATATTCTCTAGGTCCAACGTAATTTATAGTTCTTTAACCTAAACAGTACATATATTTATATTAAATTATTTATTGACATAACTGTACTTCATTTTTGAAGTACCGACAAATTTAAAAGTTAAAAAATAATAAAAAATACTAAAACCACCCACCAAAATGTCGAAACCTGTTCCAATGCCACATTCGGAGACACTCGACGAAATGCAACATTTACGCAAGCCCGAACCCTTCAATTTCGCAAAATTTCTGTATAATACAGAGAACGGAACGGTAATGGGCAGAGATCGCGCCTCATGGGGTAAGTTATGCGGGAGCTATACCTATTATATACATATATGAAAAGCAATTTCCGGCTGATTGATTGATATCTTCATTTAGCTCTTATAATAGTTATTAACTTCAATAAATCTTCAGTTTGAGCTGAAGTCACTAAAACGTGACTTTGCAGCTAGTTGAAATAGGTATACCCCAAGAATAAATCACTCAGCTAGTTAACGACCCTAACGACAAATAGAGTTATGAATTTTCTTCCTTAGTTTTTGTGATTGCAAAACATTTTAATTATATGTCGTTTAATTTACACCTGCTCTGTCGGCGTTGCCACCTGGCGCCAGCCCGACATACTTTCAACATGTTAGATGTACCATGGGTGTGCTACCTGTCCATTGGGCAGGTGCTAAACAAACATGACGTTAAATAACTGATTGTTAAATCCGGCCAAGATAACCATCAAACATAATTCTCAGAGAAATTAGCAACTTGAAATGTCAAATTTGTGCGATCAGTGTGAAAACTACTAGAGAAATAATATAGAAAATGCAGTCATATCTGATATAATGTATATTATATGAATATTTGTATTTATACAATTCATTTCTTTTATTTTTTAATATTATGAAGGCAATATATAAAATGTGTTTAAAATTGCAAAAATAAATATTATTAATAATACCATAAGAATATTTGCTCGGATATTTTAGACAACATTTATAATATGCCTTGTATATCTAGAAGCTATTATAAAAATATTTAAAATCATATTTATATTTACACAATAATTATTTTTTAAA